ACTTTGCAATGTCAAATGTTTACTATATATAAGACTGTCATGATAATTTAGTACACTAAGTCCTGCCAACCGACCTTACCTTCAGTTCATACTACCTACATTGATCCCTAACTATATTGTTCTGCTGAATCTTGCTTCACTATTCACAAAACCTATTCTTTTTATTCTTTAAGGTTCTAACTTCTTGTAAAGTAATCTGTTCATTAGGACGCATGCATACATATATAATGTTCATAAAGATGTACGCGGAGACCTATTGGAAGCACTCATTAAGAAAGCTAGGGAGATGGAATATGAGGTACGAACATGTCTGGTACCAAGCAATATATTTGCGGTAGCCATAATAATCATAGTCTCAGAGCTTAACATCAAAAAAGGAGGGAGGGTGGCGTTAGCTGATCAGTAGATATGGTGGGGGTCACTAAGGTGAATCGCCCCATTCTGCAGGAACAGCAATATACAAATTAAAGGCTCGAGATATTTCTGATTTTTATGAGGGCTTAGATCTTTATCTTGAAAAAGATAATAATGAACGCCTTGACAGATCATGCTTCTACCTTTAAATATATACCATTCGCTCAGCCTATTGTTGAGATGCGACCATGTGGGATCTGCACAGATTTATGGGGCATCTTATAAACTAACTTGCTGTCCATTGTCGGATCTTTAAATACCACTTCACAATGTCTTATCTCATTCATTTTCCAATAACGTCTTTACTTGATCCTCATTATATTCCATTAAACCTAACATTTTATAGCTTTTTATGAATTCGATTCGACTTATTCTATTCCTATTCTCTGAAGGGTACGGTTGTGCACCAAATGCACAAAAAGGCATAAAATAAAAAAACCGACATAAGGGAAAATGTATTAAAACCAAAAGTGGACATCATGATAGTGCAAACTTTACAGGAAGCATTATACATTGCAAATGAACGTTGTCAGCCTAGGGAGTTTCCTTTATTAATGCATTTATTAATGATACTTGCACTTACCCATTTCATTACAATTTAATGATTCACCTCAGCACTTTTACTTTTCTAAAACAGCTTTCAATCCCTTGTAAACGTTGTACTTACCTCAATATTGGTTGGTTATCGAATGCCGACAACCACGGGATGAAAACGAAACGAAGTCGATTTTCCCGCTCAACCTGGAGGACACTTGTACAATTCAATAACTATACAGCCTAGTTCAGACAATGAGTGTATTATATGTATCAAATATTTAGCTGTTGCAACATTATTAACTTGTAGACAATCTGAGATTTGAGACTATATCTTACTTGATGGTGCCTGTAAAAATGGCATGCATTTTCATGTAAATTTATATGTTTATATGAGAATATACATTATTATTATTATATAATACACTCATTGTCTGAACTAGGCTGTATAGTTATTGAATTATACAAGTGTCCTCCAGGTTGAGCGGGAAAATCGACTTCGTTTCGTCTTCATCCCGTGGTTGTCGGCATTCGATAACCAACCAATATTGAAGTAAGTACAACGTTTACAAGGGATTGAAAGCTGTTTTAGAAAAGTAAAAGTGCTGAGGTGAATCATTAAATTGTAATGAAATAGGTAAGTGCAAGTATCATTAATAAATGCATTAATAAAGGAAACTTCGTACGCTGACAGCGTTCATTTGCAATGTATAATGCTGCACGTATATCTCGTAATATCATGGTGTCCACTTTTGGTTATAATACATTTATCCGCATGCCGGTTATTTTTTATTTAATAATGTTTGTGCATTTAGTGCACAACCGCACCCTGCAGGGAATATGGATGGAATAAGTCGAATCAAATTCACAAAGAGCTGTAAAATGTTAGGTTTAATGGAATATAATAAGGATCGAGTAACTATCTGTAACAGGACTGCTTGAAATATAAAGCAGCAGGATATACGTAGTATGTACATAATATTACTACTATTACTTCATGGGTGAAACTCACCTTGAATTTGATGGGTCAATTTTACACCGCCTCATCGGTGATGTCATGTTATTTTCTGTTGCTTTGTTTCTTCATTTGAAGCATACTGCGAAAGATACTTGAATGTAGAGAGAAGGGTGAATCTGGCCTGTATTTACTAGGATTTGGCTTGCTGAGGGAAAACGCCTACTCATCTAGCCATGCAGTGGGAATTCTACTTTTCCACTATATCTGTTAGTTAGGTTCAGAGTCGTTTTGTTCATGAAGAAGCGCAACTTTCATATTTTCACCTAACACTTCGCCGAAATGTGCACCGTTTAGGCACAGTTTCAATAGAAGAGAAATTGTATTTCTTGCTCTTTAAAATCAGAAACATTTTACACATTTTCTGAAAAGTTTCTGTCTTCATTTGTCATTTTCTCGGAAAGAGTAAGTGTGCTTCTATAAGGGTCAAGTGAATTTGTATATCTAGTCGAATAATTATTCTCTCCGTACTCTTTTTATAAGATTCTCACAGGTTAAATGTTCGGCCTATTTAACTCGCCCACCAGTCTTAAAAATTTTCGTGTTAGTTCTGCCTTGCAGACTACCTGTCAGTGTAGTTGAAGATTGAACGATCAATTCATGATTGTTTGCTAAAAACCAACTCTATATTTTGACAAGGGTCACCGAAACTGCTGTCACCGTTCCATCGTTCATTGTTCGTTAGAAGACGGAGAAATCCTATCAGAAGTATTATTTTGATTTATTGTTATGACATTTATTCTTAGACCTTGTGCATAATAACCTTATTGTTGGCTCCATATTGGCGCAAGAATAAACGGTTCTCGAGTCGCCAATCAGTGTTCTGGTTTTTCGCGTTGGTTGGTCAACATTGTTGTTGAAAGTCTTCTAAGGACAGCGTTAAGTCCAGTGTAGTTAGACCTTGACGGTGACACTGGCATTTTTGGACGCCTTATTGTAACTACGTAGGGAGAATCGTGTAGATCGGCCACTTCTGGTCAGTCAACACTAACAATGTCCGTGGTAATAATTCGTGTTTCACTTACCTTTTTGTAACGCTGAGGGGTCCTTATTATGGTGGACTGAGAGCTGATTGTGTTTTATCATGTCTCGCCCTTGCGTGGGATCGGGAACCCAAGTCTTTTGGTTTAAAGACTGCTCTTGGTTTTCTCGTCAGAAAGTTGGCCAACATTTGGCCATTTTTGGTCGGAGTCTGTCAATGTATGTAGCCTGGCCAAGGGTGTTTCTATGTGTACCATGACTAATAAAACTCTCCAGATGGTCTCAGTGTGCCACCGTGTACCATTTCCCCAGTGGAACACCGGGCATGAGTTTTACTGAATTCAGGATACCAAGCATTACCACTTGTAGGAACTCTGCCCAGTGATTTTTGTTAGGGTGGGACGCCCGGGCAGCCCTCACACAATTAGCTTAGGGGTAGCGTGCCGTGCAGTGCATTCAGTGTGACCACAATGGCTACAAACAGTCTGATTTTTCTTGGGCACCATGTGAGATTCACCGAACAAGTGAATCGTACAGTGAAATTCTTGGACGAGTGAACACTGAGAAGCGGCGTCTGTCCTAGTATTATGAATAATTTTCTGGCCAACCTCAGAAGTTTGAGGTTTGGTCGCCCTTAGATTTGGGAATCCTGCCAGCATTTTCCAGAACCTTCCGGTAGACACTGATGGATACTAGACCAGATTCGACAAAAACAGCGCTCTCTAGCTTCATCATTTATGTATCAGGAGATTTCTTTCATTGTGAAATGTCTCTCCCAAGCATCCTCTAATAAGCCAAACCTATTTAGTAAGTCTTTGTCGAGGATTGCTAGGTCTAAATCAGCAACTGGGAAAACACAAAGTCGGGCATCAGTGCTTTCTGCCGGAACGTCACAAATAGGGATTTAGTGTTGGGCATCATCTTGACGGTAGTTTTTCCGCGTACGAGCCTGGTATTTGCTTTTGTGACGTTCATTGCAGTTTCTTTATAAACAAATATATCTATACGGGATTTTTTGTGTGCCGACATCTCTTCTCGTAGCAGTCGCTACCTAGGCGCTTTAGTTGAGCAGACCAATGTTCAGAGTCATATCTATCAAATTCAGGTAATCTGACTTGGATATTTACCGAATAAACCACCTCTGCAGAAGTGAACGTTTTCAAGTCAGATCCATTTTGCAAATGGTACAGTATAGTCAGCAGGAGTTATTGAACAAAATGTTGATTATTAGCGAAAAAAGTAAATGCATCTGATATACATTTAAAAACAAGATAGATACAAGGACTCTAGTCAGCTATTCAAAATTCAAGGCAAAGTATCAATGAAACGGGCTCACCAAATTAGAAACACTTTTCTATCAAAATAACCACTCAAATTACCAACCGACATCTCGTGATATTGTACAAGACTAGTAGTGTTTATTGTTTTATTTGTTTTCGAAAGTGCTCAAGAGGGCAAGTGAAACGGGCAAAAACCAATCCGGACTCAGAGAAGGCCACTCATTATTCAACAGGAGAAGCAAACATTACGAATCATAAATAATCTATGTTTCCTAATTGGTCTCTCGTCCTATACTTCTGAATTCTTCAATTACTTACTTCATCTAAGTGACCAGGGCATACTGTGTTATAGAGACCGGAATACTGCAAAGGGTCCTTTTATTCATCTTGTATTTCTTCCTTAACTTATCATAGTTTGTCCGCATCACTAATCCTGATTTTGATTATCTTCTTGATTTTGTTTTCTTTAGAAGACCAAATTTGTTTTAGATAATGCTTTGTCCCATTGCAAATACTTTCCCACCTCATTGATCTTTTGGCTGGAAATAGCATTAGTCATATTTATTTAAAAGTACTGTGTTTCTAGACTGCTTTTCCATTGCCCAATATCTATTCCAAGTCTCATGATCTCCTGGATCTCCCTCTGTATTTATTCAGAACGTATTGGCACTTTTGGACGATTCTTTTACTCGACGTCCACTTGAGTGATGTAGGTACTAACTATTAATTCATTACTGACATTTTTTGACCTTTGAGTTTCTGGCCTGCAGCATATTGTTAGTATTGACTATCTTGTGGGTGAGCATCATAGAGCGCCATTTTCAATAGAGATCCAATCTAGCATGGAGCGTACGTTCATAATGGTCAAGCCTGATGGCGTTCAGCGAGGTCTTGTAGGAGAAATTGTTCACCGTTTTGAAAGACGCGGCTATAAACTAGTTGCTCTAAAAATGACACAGGCATCTGAACAGCTACTACATACTCATTACGAGGCACTTAAATCTAAACCGTTCTTTCCAAAGCTGATTGCTTACATGTCGTCTGGTCCAGTGGTGCCAATGGTCTTTGAAGGGCATAAGGTGAGTTATTTAAATGAAACACCACCAGTTAGGTAGTCAGCTGTGCCTACCGGCAGCAGACGAGCCTGGCTTACACACTAGATGGGCGTCCTGAAATCCTGTCCTAAGTGTTTATATACTGGCGTTATACTGTCTACGTCTTCGCATCTGGAATCTAACGGTCGCTCACCAAACTGTTGTTCTGACCAATACACAAACGCTTCACTAGTGTGGATGTTAAGCCAATTGATCTGTCAGCCGTTCACTGGACGTACATTTGAGAATCTCATCTCTACAAAGTGTGTGAGAATCGCAGACATCTCGTGTCTATCGAAGAGTTTAAGACACTGACGTTTTTGCGGAGCCTGATGCAAGTTGGCTTGTAATGAATACTATCACATTTGAAAATTGGACATAAAACATCAATATTCAAAGGGTACTGGGACGGGCATATTGCGCTCTCACTACCACTGAGAAACGATTCGCCGCAGGAATTTGGCCCCACGGATATCATACGTTCCCGATTTTTTGAATGTTTTGGTTTGATGTCTTTTCGAAGCAAGAGCTGGCTGTGTTTGTAGAGTACTTTAAGTGGTATCTCAGGTATGTGAGACATGGTGACCAGGAGCAGTTAACGAAGTTGAATACTCATCCGACTAGGGCTAAGAGTATCATACTTCCATTAGGATAAATTCGTTTATTTTTTTCAGGCACAAGCTTGGTTCAACAAGTTGTAAGATGTGTGCTTAGATCTGTTGACGGTGTATTCTCTTTTTTTTTGAAATCTCGACTATCCGAAGCAATCTGTTGACGCATTCAAGTATTGTGTAAGAGTACTGTTCTCCTACTTCTCAGTCTGTAAAGCGTTTTCGCTACGATTTTCGCTGTCAGCGGCGCGAAGATCAAGGTGACGATGAGTTGGGTATCTTGAAGAGCTTTTTTAATTCCCAGGTGTACCCCCAGAAATGTAATTTTACTCTAATGATTATTGTTAGACCTTATAAGAAGTTAATTTGACAATTTATTTTGATTCTGTTCTAGGCTGTCGAAAATGGACGTACCATGTTGGGTGCTACCCAACCAGAAGCGAGTTGTCCTGGATCTATTAGAGGAGATTTCTGTCAAGATGTTGGGAGAAACGTTGTCCACGGATCTGATTCTACTGAGAGTGCTAACAGGGAAATAAGCTTGTGGTTTGCTCCCCAAGAGCTGTGCCAATACAAGCAAAACATGGACCCTTGGATCCATGAATAATTTTTAAAATAAACTACACAGTTAAATAAAAGTTCTTAGATCGAGTCGAGAACGTGCGCAGCTTTTATCATTTTGTCAATGACGTGGGATATAGGAGTGCTGGTGGGTGAACTGTTAGCTGTTCATAAATTCGTTCGACTTTTTTCGTCATGCTTTTGTTTTGTTTCCACTGTTAGCTCTTGAACATCATGAATAATTTGCGTTAACTATATGTTATGAGTTGGCTTGCTCAATTCCAACTTGGGTACAGAGCAGGGATTTTGTTTAATACGACTGTTCAATTGTGTTTCAGAATCGCAATTCACCTTTGACTATCTGATAGTGTTTCTCTTGTCACGTGACGTAAAATATTTGACTGACTTCGCATTTGGATTTCCACACCTAGTTGCTGTAATCGTGTCCTTTGTTAGGCTGCCTTACCACTTCTTGATTCAAGTTCGTTCCTATTAACTCAGTCTTGAAGCTAATACAACGAGAGGACTCAGTGTGCCTAGGGGTGGTGAATCTCTTGTGCACAAGTAGAAATAGTATCGTGCCCTTCCACCTGAGGTGAAACAAGATGAGTTTCAGTGAACGAAGTTTTTAAATGCCTTGAAGCTCTAATGCACACTGTGTTAGTGGTGAAGGCAATAAATCGAATTGGGATTTCAAAATGCCATTGTGGTTTCTAACTCAAGGATAGGCGCTAAAGAAACAACTGAGAGCTGAAGGTAGTGTTTAGTTGTAAGGATTTGATACTCGATATGCATGTTAGAAACCAAAAGGACAGCGTGGTCTAGTCTTGGGAGGTTGTAAATTACTTGATTTCGGACATCTGCACACATTGCAGCCTACGATTGTAGTTTTTATATATTTTAAGCCTCATCCATAGTGTACATATCCTCCCAACTCGCGCAGATCTGAGGAAGATCGGTATGAATGTGGGACTTGTTGGTTGTTTTGAGGTGCTCTGATATTCATTAATAGTGATTGTAGTCCATTCTCACAAAACCAGCAGGCAATCTCCAGATTGCCGGTGTCACTGATTTGTTAATGGTTAAAATAAATAACAGGTATTCAGTTTGTGATCATCGGCTTACTAGTTCGAGGGCGATTGTACGAAAACAGGGGTGGTATGGTCTGGCAATATTTGCACTCTGAATATTTAGTTGGAATATTTTATTTAACTGGGTATACAGATTGTCAGGTAGACAGATATACACTGTCGGTAATTGTTCTGAAAGCCTTATGCCTCAGTGTCATATTTATTGTGGGTTTGTGCCGTCTGTTGTAGTAGCGATAGTTTTCAGTTAGGTGAAGGTATGGTTTCGTTATCAGTGATTTGTGTTGCACACGTTTCCCCTCATGTGATCGGTGACCTTTATGAGTCTTTCCCACAGTTTTTGCTGGAGGCTTTATCCTGGTTCGTATGGTAGGCTTCACAAGGATCATTCCATTTTATCTGTTAATTTCCTGTGGCATATGCTCATTTTGGACTTCTGCACGTTTACTGTAGGAAACGTTGTCGTCAGTTTTATTTGTAAACTGATTTATGTGTTGATAGCTACCAAGGATGTGCAATGGTTTCTCACCGTGGAGAAATTGGTGCTAATGTGTTGCTGAATTTGTTGAAGCTGGTCATAAATATGTAAGGCATTTGATTGGGGGTGATATATAATTAGGTTGTGGTTTGAAACACTATTCATTTAGGACCCAGGTTCCACTTCTATTTAGACGAGTGAGTTTATTTCTAATTTTGTAATCTTCAACTACGATGAAGGATTGAATGTTCTCCAAATTCATCAAGTTGTAAGTGGAGTTTTCCGGACTTCTATAATCACCACCATTAATTTGAATGAAAGGATGAGTAGGAAAGAGTATTTCTGCAGTTAATAGTGTTCTCTGAGCTGGTTGGTTTACTTGCGGGGCTTTCGTCGTCCTACTGGACAACTTCTTCAGCGCAATATTTAGCATAAAGTGAAATGATTTAAATTTCTTCACGAGTGATATAATTGCGTCTCCCGGTAACCATCTTTACATATGTATTGACCATTTTCTGTTGACTTGGATTTTAAACTTTCGTTGGTATATTTGGTCTATATTAACGTGTTTTTTAATAGCATATTCGTTGGAGTACCAGGCTTCTAGGAATTCCCTGGCACATTTGGTGTTGCCTCTGTCCAATATTTAGACATTATCCCGCTCAAACTGATGTCCATAGTTGTCTATGCGCATTGATATGAAAGAATATATATCGCGTCTTTTCACGGCTGATTTGTGTTCTTGGATTCTGATTCGAAGGGGACGCCCACTTTCTGTCTGTTTTCGACGTAGAACTTTGCACATATGTGCGGCAGTTCAAGTCACCTCACTCCATGTAGCACACAAATCAGAAGAAGAAATGCATAATAGAGACAGTAAACAGAGGTGTGAGACAAAGGAACAGTAATCACGAAGAACAATATAGATTCATCGGAAATGATGAGTCACAAGGAGTGAATGCATCTGCGCCGTTGAAAACGATTTTCGAGCCATATCACCAATTGTTTCCAACCATTGGTTTTTACCATCCCCAGGACCCCAACCAGTCAGGAAGTCTACACCTTCCTACATGGCTTAGACCAACTGTTGTGGATTTCATTGAGTGGTGCCATGTTTCGGTTTGACCTCCGCTAGCTCTTTTCCAGCCTGACCCTATATCAGCTAACATTGCCTGTCGAGGAAGGCGATCACTAGGCATACGTAACACATATCCTAACCATCTCAGTCGATGTAAATTCACAACCTCATCGATTGATTTCCCCTGCTTACCTAGCACTCGACACCTAACCTCAATATTGCCCACCTTATTATACCACTTTGCACGGGAGATAGGATGCAAGCACCTATGATCAAAGACAGCTAATCTTTTCATGTCTTCCACTCTCAATGGCCAGGTCTCACAGCCATAAAGGAGGACGGAGCGGACTGATGAGCAGTACACTCGCCCCTTGGTCGATAGCCGGATATCACTTCTACGCCAGAGACGGCGTAAACTGGCATATGCGAAATTAGCCCTCTGTATCCGTGCTGAGATTTCGTCAGAGATCAACCCGTTGAGGCTGATGCAACTTCCCAAATAGGTGGAGCGGTCAATGTGCTCTACCACTTCACTCCCTATTTCTAAACTAGGAGTCAGTGTAGTCCAGTCCTGTAACATCATCTTGCATTTGGCGGGGGCGAATCGCATGCCAAACATTCATAGATTGCATCTCAAGGTGTTCAGAAGACTGCATTTTGTCAGCATCCTCGCCTAGAAGGACTATGTCGTCTGCATATTCCAAGTCAATGAGATTATTACCTGGTAGCAAGTAAATCCCTGTGTCTCTGAAGTGAGTTATGGTTAAGTCCATTTGTACGTCTATGATGAAATTGAATGGGGATAATGGGCATCCCTGGAGGGCACCGCTAGTCGTCACCACTTCAGATGACAACTCGCCGTAAGTCCTCACCTGGCTGCATGAGTTCGAGTAGAGTGCCTTGATCAGTGCGATGTATTTTCTCGGCATTCCCTTAATAGTCAAGCATCGCCAGAGTACTTCTCGGTCGACAGAATCGAATGCCGCCTTTAGGTCAAGAAATTTTTTGATTGTTGGATGCCGGTAGGAATGCCTTTGTTCTAGAATCTGTCGAAGGGTGAAGATGTGATCAATACACCCTCTTCCTGGTCTAAAGCCTGCCTGGTTTTCTCGTGTTTGTGCCTCCCGAGCACCACTTAGTCTACGCAATATTATTTAGCCTAGGACTTTAGATACTATATTAGTCTATTTTTTTTTTTTTTGATTATCACAGGAAGACTTGTCTCTCTTTTTATATATGGGGATAATCAGTGACTTACACAAATCCGACGGGACTTCCTCTGATTACCAGACGCTGCCTAGTACCTCAGTTAACGCAGACAGTAAACTGTCTCCACCGTACTTAAATATCTCTGGAGTCATACCACCAGGCCCGGCTGCTTTGCCCTGTTTCAGATTAGTGACAGCTTTAGTAACCTCGGTTAGGGACAGATGACCTGTGTCTATATCCCATTCAGGGAGATTTTTTTTTTCAGCTAGGTTGAGTGTGGCTGTAGGCCAATTAAATTGCTCCTCATAGTGTTCTTTCCAGCGTTCCAGTCGTCTATCTTGGGCGCTGAATATAGTGCCATTTTCCTCAGAGATTGTTTCACTTGTCATTTGCCTTTTACCACCTGTTTACCTGATAAGCCTAATTAGTTGTCTGGTGTTGCCAATCGCCGATGCCTTTTCCATTTCTTTCGCTTTTGTTACCCACCACTGTTCACGGTCGTTGCGAAGACTTCTTGTTAGTTTTTGTTTGAGTAGCTTTCGGTCCTCATCATAATCGGGGCTTGCCGGAATCAGTCTTCTTGCGACAATCAATTTGGATGAGGTGGTAGAGATCCAGTGGCTCTTAATAACTTTCGGTTTTAGCTTATTAACAGCTTTCACAGCTGTATCTACAGCTAACTGTGTGTTGTGCCAGGCTACCTCAAGGGAAGTCCTGCTGTCGACTTTTTTTACTCGTCTCGCTATTTCTTCCTTAGATAGGGACTCAGTGTCTCGATCTAGTTGGGGACGTTACTGTTTCGCTGCCGTCAATTTCTTATGACCATTTAGTGGTAAGCGTAAACGTACGCAAACCAGAGCGTGATCAGAGTCTACGCACGTGTTACAGAAGGAGCGACAGTCTTCTAATGACCCTCGCCAACGATGCCCTATGGCTATGTGGTCTATCTGAATCCAGCGTTGATTTAGTGGTGGAGGTCGCCAGGTTACACAATGTCTCTCTTTGTGCCTAAAGTTAGTGCTGACTAGGAACAGATGATTATCTGAACAAAACTGTAGAAGACGATCACCGTTGTCGGTTCGTCGACAGGGAACTCCATACGTACCACCTACATACTTCTCAGTTTATCACAGCTTCCCTACTTGGGCATTGAAATCGCCTCCTAAAACAACTATATCTGAACGCTTTGCTTT